GAAGATGTTGTGACGGCTAATCGAACATGGTCAGGTACGGCCGAGCGCTAGTAAGATTGAGCCTACACCGCTACAGTCGGTAACTTATCGGCAGATCTTACGGAAAGGCAATTCCAAGCGGCCGCCGAACGCATGGTTCTTTGGTGCTGTAAATGAACGTCTCGAGGCTTGGTCGGCTTTCGTAGATTTTGCGCAGTTGCCTCCTTCCCTTTGAAATATGTGATGGTATCCGTCTCTACACATAGTTTCCGTTTTTTGAAATGTTTTCAAATGTCATACAGTTGTCGTTTCTTAAGAGAATATGTGATGAATTTTGGAAGCTCGGAATTCCATGGTTCGCAAAACATTTATCTCGATTTCTTTTAATTTTGCAAAGCAGTGCGACGATTTGCTAGCGCTAGTACGGCGCGACGGCTTGCTGGCGCGAATGTGGTACGAACGCAACAGAACGGAAAGCTGTAGTGCGTTTGCCTGGAGGTAGCCATATGGGCGCTTTCCAGACTTAAATGAAGTCTGGGATGGTCGACCGTTGTAATATTTAACAAGAGTTAATATTGTTAGCAGGTGGTGATAGCTGATAGACCGTATGCTGTTCACTGTCAACCGCACGAGGACGTGCGACAGTCGGAAGTAACCGTGTCTGTGCATCTAGAAAATACTAGGGACGTTGCAACACTCTAGCGAAGTAATTATTCTAGTGCAGGAAAAGAAAATGAAGTTGCAGAGAGGCTGGTCTGTGCTGCACTGGGATATGTGTCGTGTTGCTGTCGGTTTACATTTTGTGTGATTGTGACGGAGACATGTTTGCGGTATGGTTGGTCTGTAACTGTTCTATACCGAATTGAAAAAAAAGAGAGTAAGAAAAAAAAATGTGGTTCTTACTATCATTGCAGGGCGTTTGCCGGTCCAATGATATAGCTACAGGGAATAGTGATTCCGGACTAGCATAAATAGTACTGAAAAAAAAGAGATTAAGAAAAAAGAATAGTTCTTACTATCATTGCAGGGCTAATGCCGGTCCAGTGATATAGCTATAGGGAATAGTGATTCCGGACTAGCGAAAACAGTACTTGAAAAAAAAAAGAGAAAATAGTAAAAGCTACAGACTAATCATTCCGATCTAACATAAAGATGATTAAAGTTTTGTAAGGCTTACTGCCGGAACAAAACTGACTGTTACCCAAGTCTGAAGGGTCAATATAGACCGGACCAGACGCTGTTTTGTCAGGAGAATCGAACGATGTTTTTCTGTCTACAGATAATTAAGATTGTGATGGAGCGCGTGCGAGGACGCACGCATGTCAGCATGGCCGTGACGGCACCTGCACCCTTGCAGGTGCGGCGTCGGTCTAGCTAGACAGAATTCTTGTAAATAACACGTGTACCGCACACCTGCGGCATTGCACCTGCGGTACCGCCCGTTTAGCTTGTATAAAACGGACGGAGCTACCGCCGTTAGGACAGTCTTGGCTCTGACGTGGAACGGTGCGCTTGTCGTATTCCGTTACTAGTTTATCCTCGACACGTTGGATAATTAATTCGTGTAAACGAATTAATTATTATTCCTAACTACAAAATAAGTCTCTGTACTATACCCACTATACTTCCTACATATAGATTATTTCGTCTGTTATTTACTCTGACATTTATACATTTAATAAATTAATTTATATTATTTATTTTAATTATTTATTTTTTTTAATTATTTTATTTATTTATTTTATTTATTTTAATAATTTATTTTATTTAATTATTTATTTTATTTATTTTATTTACTAATTTTTTTATTATTTTACTCATTTATTTCATTTATTTATTTTATTTACTTTATTTTATTTATTTATTTTAATTATTTATTTTATTAATTATCTTATTTATTTATTTTAATTACTTATTTTATTTAATTATTTTATTTATTTATTTTATTTACTTATTTTATTTATTTTAATTATTTATTTTAAATAATTATTTTATTTATTTATTTTATCTATTTTAATTATTTATTTTATTTAATTATTTTATTTATTTATTTAAATTATTAATTATTTATTTAATTATTTTATTTATTTATTTTATTTATCTTATTTATTTATTTACTTATTTTATTTATTTTACTTACTTATTTTATTTATTTTATTTACTTTATTTACTTTATTTTATTTATTTATTTTATTTATTTATTTTATTTAATTATTTTATTTATTTATTTTATTTAATTATTTTATTTATTTATTTTATTTACTTATTTTATTTATTTACTTATATGTTTATTTTACTTACTTATTTTATTAATTTATTTATTTTATTTGTTTATTTTATTTATTTTATTTGTTTATTTTATTTATTTATTTTATTTATTTATTTACTTATTTATTTCATTTATTTATTTTATTTAATTTATTTTATTTATTTATTTTATTTTATTTATTCATGTTATATATTATATTTAATTTAGTTATTTTAGTTATTTATTTTATTTACTTATTTATTTATTTATTTTATTTATTTATTTTATTTGTCTTATTTATTTCATTTAATTTTTTTTTATTTTTTTTTTCTTCTTTTTTTTCAAAAACACAAATTTGCCCATAGACCTGATACCCACACAAATGGATACCCAGGAAATGGAGGACAACAACAACTGCGCATCGTGCAAAAAACTAAAATCAGACAACAACATCCTCCATGAGGAAAATAGGAGAATACATAACGAATTAACTAAATACAAAAAAGAACATCACTCACTCACTAATTCACTGTTACGAATAATGACTACCGCATCAGCCAACATCCAGGGACAAGAGAACGCGGAACCACCACAGAGAACAAACACAGGGTCACAACAACTACAAGAATACTGCGATCTAAATGAGATTGAAGTTATTTACAACGCTATTGCGTTGTAAATAACTTCAATTTGTTTGTTGTAAACTAGACTTCCATCACCTGTAGAAACACATAATCTCGCACACACACAAACAACATCAGAAGATCCAAATTACACAAACCACAACGCAGTTCAAGTACCCACGTGCACCAGCACAACTCCAAGCACAAGCACAAAACAAAATACAACGCAAGGGGCACATACAGCACAGGCCAGAGGCAAGGGAGGACATCAATGTGTTCTATGCGGTACATACTACACAAGCAAAAACATCCTAAGACACTTCAAAACCAAACATAACAATTACATGAATGGTCGTCTTAGGGACCATCCCTTTTACCCTAAATATTACCACTTTAAAACCGTGGCACCGCGGAGGAAGTGCCCCAGGGAAGTAAGACCCCCCATAGAACATGTGATGGGAGTTTCAGGTATAGACTTGGACTTTATGAACTACAATGACAACAACAAACCAAACACGAGCAATAATGAGTCAGAGGAATCATCTGACTAAATCAGTCAATAAATCTCACTAGATATTATATAGCTGATAAGATCCTTTAAGCCTCCATTCCTTTATTGATTTAGCATAGTTGATAAAATTAATTTAGAGACTAGACTCAATTCTTTCTAATTAGATACCATATAGCTGGTAAATACTACTTTACGCCTCTTCTTTATTATCATTTAAGCGTTTAGATTATTATGTCATGCTTTTCCTATCTTTATTATATAATATGTTACCATATCTCAATGTGGCGTCAAGAGATTACTGTAAACAATTAACGCAATAATGTCATAGCAACATAGCAAAATTGTTAATTAAAATTCTTTAAATCCACCTTTACTCTGTGACTTAAGTTCAAGAAGTTTTAGTTACTTTATCTTTTGCTTTGTTTAATTATATGTTTAAGTTGATTAACTTATAGAGTACACGGACATGGAATTGTTAATTCAAGATTTTATAAATAGTGTGTCAATCACAGAAATGTTATTTTAGTTATATATGATTCTTTTCATCTTTTGTTAATTATAAGTTTAAGTTGAGGTATATTCACTCATAACTTCTTGCACACTTTAATTTAAGATTTTATAGATAGTACGTCAATCACAGAAATGTTATTTTAGTTATATATGTTTCTCTTCACCTATTGTTAATTATAAGTTTAAGTTGAGGTATATTTTCTCATAACTTCTTGCACACTTTGTCTAGAACAAAGCAATACTGATAATAATATATTGTCAAACAATATGTCATCTAAAAATAATTGCTGAACTTAGCTAATTGCAAGTTGAGCAACGTATTTTGTTTTAATTTTAAGTATAATCTTAGGATTTACATTTAAGTAAAGTATACATTGCCTGTATCAAATCGCAGACAATCTGTATCACTTCGCTTGTGATTGAACTCAATAAGTAATGTGTCTAGTTTAAGCCAAAAATTGTGAAATTGGACAATACAGTCCCTTTGGAGGTGGTGTAACCTCTGGAGGAAACCATAAAAAAAAAAAAAAAAAACAAACCTAACCTAACCTAACCTAACTAACCTTAAGTACAAATTTGCTAATAACTTTGCTGAATATTGATCTTTTTCGTTGAAATTTTCTTTAAATAGTGTAATTAACTGCCCTCCGTATAGCCCACTCAACGAAGACCAAAAACTGCCAAATAGGGGAAATAATTCGTGTAAAAGCGATTTTTGGCATAGTTGTAGGGAATGGTGTCTTAAACAACATACTCAAAGTACTGATGAATGGGGGTGAAGCTAACGGGTAGGGGGGGGTGTAAAGGTCCCTTTTTTAAGTTTTTCTTAAATAACTCGTAAACGGTGGCTCATAGCAAAAAAATTTCTTCTACTCAAGTAATCTAAATAAAATTTTATACAAAAATGATTCTATACACTTTTTCGCTGGGATCAATATTTAACGAGATATTAAAGAAGAAAAGTTAATTATGATCAATTCTCGCGATTTAACGTCGTAGTAAAGTGCGCGCCACAGACTGTGCGCGCCGCCAGTGAAGTGGTTGTGTGTACGCCGAGTTTCGCGCCAAAATCGGTCAGAGGTTAAATCGCGTCGCGAGTTGTGATTTTTTTTCTACGTGGCACTACAAAATGTCGGAGAAGTGTTTAATTTGTGATAATGTAGTCGAAATGGACTTGTGTAAAGTCGGAAGTAAAGGGATAAGTGGGATAATAAAGGCAAGCGCGTTAAGAAAAGATGGGAAAGAAACATGTTTAAGGAATAAGATGAGTGGTGTTGTTCACAATACTTGCAGAAGACAATACGTTAGAAGTGACTCAATAAAAAGGTTTTTGAGAGAACAAGCTCTTTCAGAGCAACCATCAACATCACGTGGTGTCTCTTCTTTGCGTTCAGGACAAAGTCAGTTTGATTTTAAAACAAAGTGTTTTTTTTGCACAGAAGAGCATGACGAGGAGGCGGAGAGAAAAAAACCTTATTCTAAGCGTCGAACCATTATCAAAGTTCGTACGACTACGTTTCACAATTCCGTGCTTCTTCGTGGGCAGGAAAGAAACGATGAGTGGGGTAACGACGTAGTAAGACGTATCTGCACTGTTGGGGATCTACATGCAGTAGATGCTATATATCACGTGGATTGTTACAAAAAATTCACCCTTGCCACTCTACCTTCAAAAAGAAAAGCTGGGCGCCCCATTGATGAAGGGATTTCAGAAGCAATGAACGAAATCTACGATTACATTGAAAAAAATGATAACTGTCAATTTTCTATGGACGATTTGTTGGGACAGATTACGGGAGAACCACCAACTGTGAAAACCATCAAAGCCAGAATGAAGGAAAAATATGGGGACCAAATTGTTTTCAGTACAACTCGCACCAAACAAACAGTCGTCTGCTTTCATGCAACTGGTGAAAAAATTTTAAACGACGCGTGGTACACGTCAAGGTGTACTAATGAACAGGCAGAAAATGAAAGAATTGTACGAAAAGCCGCTGAGATTATCTTGAAAGATATTGAATCTATGGCTTACGACAACAGTGCCTATTTTCCTTTAACTAGCTTCTGCAGGGAGGCTGAAGAATTGATACCTCAAACTCTCGCAGTTTTCACAGACTGCCTTGCAAAGAAAAAAAGGTCACAAGAGACTGTGAAAAAAAAAATGACAACTATAGCTCATACACTTATTGCTGCTATTCGCCCTAGATGTTTCATATCCCCTATTTTGTCCAGCATCGCTCTGCTTATATACCGAAAATATGGATCCAAGAATTTGGTGGACCTTCTGTCGAAGTTGGGATTGAGTGCCTCTTATTACGAGGCTCAGCGGCTAGAGCTCTCCACCATCCACCATACGGAAGAGCCTATTCCAATTGGAACTTTTATTCAGTTCGTCTTTGACAATGCTGACTTCAATGTATCCACTCTCGATGGCCGGAATACCTTCCACAGCATGGGAGGTATCAAATGTATTACACCGGCCAACACTCTTCATGCATCCACAAATGTCAAAAGGTTGAATTCTGCTCCTCCCCAGGAAGAAGTGGGCCAGCTGGGAGTTCTGGAGGTGCATACATTAGAGGGTAGGGGAACCAACGCATTACAGCAAATGATCATAGAAGACTTGAGCTTTCTGAAGCCCATCCCTTCTGACATATTCACACCCACTATTCAAGATCTCTTGTGGATGAGTGGTAAGTGGCTCCAGGAGGTGGAACCTACTTTGGAGGTGCCTAACATTCCAGAATGGAAAGGTTTTATGCAATTGACAAGTAAATTAATTAACAAAGAAACAACTTCGGTAACTTTTCTTCCATTTATCAATTCTCCACCAAATGAGTACAGCACTATACGCACAGCCTTACAGTATGCTTTAAAAAAGAGTCAGGAGGTAGGAGTCACCGTTTGTTTCGTAACTTTCGACCAGCCTTTGTATTTAAAGGCCAGGGAAATCAGCTTTGGGAGCATTATGGTGAGACTTGGTGGGTTTCACTTACTGATGTCCTTTTTGGGTTGCATTGGCCACACAATGGCTGGATCAGGACTGAAAGATGTATTATGCCAAATTTTTGCTCCTAATTCAGTTGACAAGATGTTAACAGGACATGCCTACAGCCGAGCCGTTCGAGGACATTTGCTTGTTCAGCTTGTTTTAGCTCATATTATTCTGGATGGAGCCAATGTATCAGAAGAAGAGAAGAAGGACATCTCGACTATGTTGATCAACATGGAAGAATTTACTCCAGATAAAGTTAAAGAGAATGCTTCCTTGATGTCAACTTTGAAAAAATTTCAGTACCATCTCGAGACCCTTAAAGAGAATGGGCCTACCGCTGCTTTGTGGGTGCAGTATTTCAATATGGTTACACTCATGAAGAAGTACATTAATTTTGAGCGTTGTGGTGATTGGGACGGCCACTTGGCGTGTGTACAACAGATAATCCCATTCTTCCATGCAAGTGGACACTTCCAATACGCGAAATGTGCCCATATCTACGTGCAAGACATGATGCAACTGAAGAACAGCCATCCCCAAACGTACAAGGAATTTGCAGAAAAAGGCTTCTTCACCATTAATCGCACAGGCACACCTTGGGCAGGAGTTTGGTCGGATATGGTAATAGAGCAAACTCTCATGCGCTCCATGAAAAGTTCAGGTGGCCTGACGCGAGGAAGAGGAATTACTGATTCTGTATTGGCCAAATGGGTTTGCGGATCACCGGGATGCACCGCCATCTGCACTTCATTGGAGGAGTTCGCCGAAGTGGTTTTTGCTAGTGGAGAACAGCATGTCGATTTCCGGCAGTCACGGCAACAGAGAGATTCACGAGATCGAGCTAAGATTCGGGAATGGTTTAGTGAACATCCCCCATTTCCAAAGTTGAATTCGCTAATATCTCTCTCAACGGGCGTCCTGGGAAATTCCAAAGTAAACTGCCACCAAGCCCTAGATATTGGCACCAAAACGATGCAAAATTTCATTGGCAGAAGATTCAGTGACATGAAGCAGTCTAAAAAGAATGTGGTTTTGTCACTAGCCAGTATGAGTAGTAGCATTAAAATCAATGGTGAGACAGTTACTGTTAACCCTTTAACTATTTTCCAAAGAACTGTCATAGCAAAAAAGAATGACGAAGATGTTGCAGACCTTTTGACTTATGAATTAACCCCATTCCCCATGTCTCTGTTCCACGAGGGTGTGATGCGAAAAGGGAAGAAGTCATCCCTCTACGATGTTTTGCCAGTAGAGAATAACGCAGCTCTCGATCTCAACCAAACCACCAATGTGGTAGATGGTGGTTTCCTACTACACCGTATGAAATGGAAACCGTCCTCCAGCGTTTCTTCGATTTGCCATCAGTACATTACCTACGTACAGAAACATTACGGTACAAATTGTATGGTGGTTTTTGATGGTTACAGTGATGTCAACAGCACAAAACGAGCAGAGCAGAAGCGACGAGGTTTGACTAGAACGTCGGTTGACATTAACTGTAACGAAAATACGATCATCACTGTTCAACAGGAGCATTTCCTTGCCAATGAAAACAATAAAACTAGGCTGATTCAGTTCCTCACCGAGAAAATGACAGCAGCAGGGATTGAAACAACTGTTGCAACAGGAGATGCTGATGGTACTATTGTCAGCTGCGGGTTGGATAAGGCTGCCGTTCATCCAACTGTTGTAATAGTTGGGGAGGATGTCGACTTGATAGTCCTCCTCATGGGATTGGCTCCACCAAATATCAACGTGTTCTTTATGAAACCAGGACGTGGAAAGGTGGAGACCAAATTGTTTTCAGTGCGACAACTTCAACAGCTTGAATTTGCCAAGTCAATTCTCCTTCTCCACAGCTTCTCTGGATGCGACACCACCTCCGCAATCCATGGAAAGAGCAAAGTGGGAATTGCTAAGCTGTTCATGGCTAAACCAGATCTGACCCAAAACATCTCAGACATTTTCAGTGGGCTTTCAACATCACCTGAAAGTATTGAACAGGCTGGCGAGAAACTGTTTCTGGCAATTTACCAAGCGCCTGTCCAGGAACAAAATCTCAATAAATACCGATACTCAGCTTTTTTGAGAGCATCGATGAAGCCGAAATCAGATCTGGCCACTCTTCCTCCTACCAGAGGAGCTTCGAAGCAGCACTCATTGAGAGTGTACTTACAGGTAACATTAATCACAAAAGTTGTCAAATACTGTAATATAAATATATATTTGAGCTAAATACTTACGTTGATCTTATTACTTCTTTTACAGATACAACAATGGCTCGGCAACCCCCTACCACCCACTCAATGGGGCTGGGCCAGAGGGGACGATGGCATCCTAAAGCCGGTGACAACCAATGATCCAGTGGCACCTGAGTCCATTCTCAACACCATATTTTGCCGGTGCACGACTGGGTGTGGGGTGCGATGCGGCTGCCGGAAAGCAGGAATTGCCTGCTCCAGGGTCTGCGGCGTATGCTCCGGCTCATGCACTAACGGAGCCCCCATCGAAAACACCGTCGACGATGATGTTGATGATGATATTTTATATTTAGAAGATAATTAGATTTTTTTTAAACATATTATGTCTTGCCTAATTAAATAAATGTAAGTTTATTTTATTATTATCCATCTTCTTTCCTTTATATCTCATTAAATTTTGATCCCAGCGAAAAAGTGTATAGAATCTTTTTTGTATAAAATTTTATTTAGATTACTTGAGTAGAAGAAATTTTTTTGCTATGAGCCACCGTTTACGAGTTATTTAAGAAAAACTTAAAAAAGGGACCTTTACACCCCCCCCTACCCGTTAGCTTCACCCCCATTCATCAGTACTTTGAGTATGTTGTTTAAGACACCATTCCCTACAACTATGCCAAAAATCGCTTTTACACGAATTATTTCCCCTATTTTTCCTTCATTGAGTGGGCTAGTATATCCTTATAGTTTTCTTAGTATATTTTCACCGTTATTTAATTCATTTTCACATTTTTCCTTCTTTTTTAGTCTTAAATTCATAAATAAAACATAAATTCATCTATAACTTTACTGAAAATTGCCCTTTTCCATTCAAATTTTCTTTTTAAATAGTGTATCTAATTGTCCTACGTAGTTTCCTATAGTTTTCTTGGTAAATTTTCACAGTTACATTACAAATTTTCATAAAATTCGTTTTCTTAGAGTCGTAATTTCATAAAGTTTTTAAAATTTTACAAATCTGCATTTCTTTCACTCTTTTTGCTTCAGTCAGGTCCGTCCAGTGTAGAAACTGCCATCTGCACTCTAATCTGCAAAAAATAACACACGAAATCAGAGAAAATCGCTACTTACCTAAACCGAGGTATAGTGGTCGATCGTTAAAAATATATAAATTTAAGTACAAATTTGCTAATAACTTTGCTGAATATTGATCTTTTTCGTTGAAATTTTCTTTAAATAGTGTAATTAACTGCCCTCCGTATATCCTTATAGTTTTCTTAGTATATTTTCACCGTTATATAATTCATTTTCACATTTTCCCTTCTTTTTTAGTCTTAAATTCATAAATAAAACATAAATTCATCTATAACTTTACTGAAAATTGCCCTTTTCCATTCAAATTTTCTTTTTAAATAGTGTATCTAATTGTCCTACGTAGTTTCCTATAGTTTTCTTGGTAAATTTTCACAGTTACATTACAAATTTTCATAAACTTCGTTTTCTTAGAGTCGTAATTTCATAAAGTTTTTAAAATTTTACAAATCTGCATTTCTTTCACTCTTTTTGCTTCAGTCAGGTCCGTCCAGTATAGAAACTACCATCTGCACTCTAATCTGCAAAAAATAACACACGAAATCAGAGAAAATCGCCCTCCCACCCTCCTTGTTTTCATTGCTTAAGTAGAATTGTAATACTTAGTTTATAAAACTGCAACTTATTACACCAATCATTCTTTTTTTTGTCCTTTAATAATATATAGTATTTATCTTTGCTCCTTAGCACTTTTTAAATCAAAGTTATACTATTTCCATTTAATTTTTACAATTCTTTTATCGTAAATAAATTTAAAATATACAAAATGCCTATCATGAGAGACGACCCAAACCAGACCTTTGTGGTACCCCCTAGCACCTCAGGAAGTAACGCGCGGCTGGCTGCCTCCTCTGGGGATGTGACCAACTTGCCATCCTTTACGGAAGTAATTAAAAAGCTTACAAAATTTATTACTGCAACCATACAAGATGGGCGGAGTGTGACGGCTATTAATAAAAAACTAATTATAAGGGCCACAGAAGAAATTCAGAGTGCAACTTCTGTTCTCACAACTTTGCAATTGCCTTCATCTGCATCACCACCTGTACAATCTGAAAGTGAAAAAACGGATTACTTTAAGAACATGAAAGATGATATTATTTCTGGAATTAAGATCGAGCTAGACAAACTTAGGCAGGAGACTAACTCTATCAAAGACTTTGTCACATCCACTCTCGGGGAAGAAGACGGCTTCACTAAGGTAATGAGCCGAAAGAACAAAAGGAGGACCTATGCTGCAGCTGTAAATAAAGAATACGTAGAACCCCCACAGAACAAATATACAATAATGGTAGAGTCTACAAATCCCAGCCATACTGGCGAGGACATTATGAGCGAGGTCAAAAGTAAAGTCGATGTGGTAAATATGGGAATAGGCATTACGGGAATACGGAAAACAAAATCACAAAAGATAGCCATCACTTGTGACACTGATAAGGATCGTGAAACATTCAGCGCCGCTATAAAAGCCAACTCTAAAAATCTCAATGTGTCACTTCCGACAGTAAGAAATCCGATGGTACGTTTGATGGGAGTCACACCGGACATAAATGATGACAAGATCATTGATGCTATACTAAAGCAAAATAAGAATATCGTCGATAGTATCATTGAAACTGACATCTCTATGAGGATAATTAGGAGTGCGAAGGGTCGAACTAATTTAGTTAGAAATGTAATACTGGAAGTAAGCCCGACCCTATGGAATGCTATGATCAATAAGAAAATAAAGCTTGGATATCAGATGATTACAGTTATCGATCAGTCGCCGGTACTCCAATGTTATAATTGTCAAGGTTTTGGCCATAAATCAAGCACATGCACGGCAGAAATTAAATGTGGTTACTGCGCAGAAAATCACGACACCAGAAGCTGTCCAAGAAGGAACCAAACCCCATGTTGCGCAAATTGTCAAAAAGGAGAGGAATATAAAAAGGACCACCCAGCATATAGCCAGGAATGTCAGGAGTGGCAGAAGTGGGACAGAATAGCCAGAATGTCGGTAAGGTACTGCTAAGGGCACCTCTATAAAGATCAATAGCAACAATGCGCTGCAAGCATGTTCTCCGGATCCCCCTATGTTGGGGCGGGGCCGACTCACAATGCTTCAGTGCAACTTAGGCAGGGGATATGCTGCGACACATGAATTAAAACAATACATCGTTAATAAAGGATATGATATAGTCTTTATAACTGAGCCATACGTCGGCAAAAACAACACCCTCAGTCAAATAAACGGCTACAGTTTGTATCAACATTCAAAACATGGCAGCAGAGTCAAAGCATGCATAGCAATAAAAAACAACTTTGGATCTTGCCTTGGTATAAACCAGTGCTGCACCACAAACCTCTGCACCGTCCAGTTGTCCCTAAAAGACTCAAAACTGCTACTTATCTGTGCTTATGTTGAACCAGATGTTGATGAGGAAAACACGCTTAACCACCTGGAACAAATTCTTAAGACTAGCGACACAACGAGACGTATCATCTGTGGTGACTTTAACGGCTGGCATACCACATGGGGATCAAATAAAATCAACAAAAGAGGAAAGGAAATAATGGACCTCATTATGGCTAATGAATTAAACATCTGCAACACTGGCTCACACCCAACATTTGAAACAACTACACACGGACAATTAAGAACGTCTATAGTTGATCTCACATTAGCTTCCGATAATATTGTATCTAACGTCAGATCATCACGCTATAGACTTTATTTTTGAACTGAAACACGATAAACCAAAGAAGAAAGCGTCAACTACCACATTTAGATATAAAACAGATAAAACAGACTGGAAAAGTGTAACAGAAGAAATCAAAAAACACATGCAAGCAGCCGAACTAGACCAGACAGACATAAATAAACTAAACGCAGAACAAATAGATAATTACGTTGATAACATCACCAAAACTATTATCAGTGCCTGCGATAGGACTATCCGTCGGAAAGTGCCCAGCAGCCACATCCCTTGGTGGAATGACGAACTTACTAACCTAAAAAAGAATGTAATACACATACACCATCGAATCCAGGACCTTAAAAAAGGCAATAAAAATATCAACAACATTCTAAAAGAGCAAGAAGTTGCTCGAGCACAATATTCAACGGCCATTCAGAAAGCTTCAAATGAACACTTTCGCAACTTCTGCTCAAAGCAAGGAAAGGAAGATGTTTGGTCTCTTACAAATAGAATCCTTAAAGATCTGCCACAGCCACAACCGCCTACTACTTTAAGAATAAATGGCAACGAATACACAAAGTCAAGTCAGGAATCTGCAAATTGTTTGATTAACACCTTTTTTCCCGATGACAATCAAGCTAATGACAATCAATTTCAGCAACAAATCAGAACGGAAACTATTTCTCCCCCGAACACAGAAAATGAAAAAGATTCTACAATAGACGAAATCATGGAAGCGATCAAATCAACGAATCACAAAAAAGCACCTGGACCAGACCATCTCACATCTGACATATGTCAGCACTTTATTGAAACGTATCCCACACAAGTCACTAACCTCTTCAACAGGTGCATGCATCTTTCACACTTTCCTACCTCCTGGAAAACAGCTTTTATAAAAACAATCCCCAAGCCAAATAAACAAGATTACAACGACATATCATCATACAGACCCATTGGACTTATCAATGTTTTTGGCAAACTCTTAGAAAAGTTAATAGCTAAAAGATTATCATATTACATGTACATTAATAACACAGCAAATGATAGACAATACGGATTTAAAGAACAAAAGACCACTACGGATGCATTACGAGATGCAATAAAACATATGAAGCAAGCAAAGGCACAAAATAAACTAGTAGCCGCAATCTCACTCGACATAGAAGGCGCTTTCAATCATGCATGGTGGCCAGCACTCCTATATAGATTAAAAAAACTAAAATGCCCAAGAAACCTGTACAGAATTATTCAAAGTTATATTGAAAATCGAAAAATTAAATTAAATTATTCAGACGCAACTGTATCTAGAGAACAAACTAGAGGATGCATCCAAGGATCGGTTCTTGGACCCATCTTCTGGAATATTATAATGGACGATTTACTAGACATAACCCTACCCACTGGCAACCACATCCAAGCCTATGCAGATGATGTATTTTTAATTTGCGCTGGTAAAGATGTAACTGAGCTGGAAAATATTGCAAATTATATATTACACGAAATATACACATGGGGACTAAGGAACAATCTAAGATTTGGACACCAGAAAACTCAAATGATAACTTGCACACCAAAAGCAAAAACCGCTAAAATCACTATGAACAATAACGTTTTACAATTCACAGAACAAGTTAAATTACTCGGCGTTATAATAGATCAACATTTTAAATTCATCAACCACTGCAAATATGTAATAAATAAAGCGCAAAGAATTTTCAAAAAACTAAGTATAATCATTCGACCTACATGGGGAGTTAAATCCGAAAATGTGTCAGTAATTTACAAGCAAGTCATAGAGCCAATCATAACTTACGCTGCTGAGATATGGGATAGCACAACAAAATACAAATCAGTTACAAAAGCCTTACTTAGTCTACAGAGGGGATTTGCAATTAAAATAATAAGAGGATTCCGCACACTTCCTACAACTGCAGCCATTGCATTAGCTGACCTGACACCGTTACACCTTAAAGTAAAAGAAATAGCTGACAACGAACGAACGAAAATAAATGGAATAAGTAAATATTTACCTGACGACATAACCTTGATCAAAAGAATACCTCCTAAAAAATTATTGCACCCCGCGGAACGTGTTACAATAACTATACAAAAAATAACAAACTTAGAAGACCTAAAAGAAAATTGTACGACTAATAGTGTTAAAATATATACGGACGGTAGCAAACACAATGAAGCAGTAGGCGCTGCATACGTTATATATTTTCCTGATGGAAAAGAAACCGTAAAACGCCTTAAATTACATAGCAGTTGTACTGTTTTCCAGGCCGAATGCTTAGAGATCGAAAGGGCATGTAAAGAATGCATAAAAATGAGACTGACAGACGTTTGCATTTTCTCTGACTCCATGTCCGCTCTCCTAGAAATAGCAAACCGCAGCAGCACCCATCCGATTATAAACAATATACACCGAAGCATAAAAATACTAAGAAATACAGGAAGAATAGAATTATACTGGATCAAAGCTCATCATGGATTACTGGGGAACGAAAGAGCGGACACGGAGGCAAAGAAAGCAGCGACACTTCACAAAACTCCAGACTATGATAACTTCCCTATCTCATACGATAAACGGCTACGGAAACAGGACACTGAACAAGCACATGAATTGGAATACTCGAGTTCAACAACTGGCGCTCATCTAAAGCAGTGGTTGCCCAAACTGGAACATATTAAAGCTTTAAGAGAGAAAGCTAATATCACCTTCGAATTAACTCAAATACTCACAGGACACGGATACCATAAGAGCTATTTATATCGTTTCAAAATCACTGAGAACGACATGTGTCCTTGTGACAACACAAGTGTGCAAACAATAGAACATATATTAAAATGTTGTCCTCAGTTTGGAAAACAACGATGCGACCATGAGATGCTTTGCGGAAATTTACGTATAGAAACTTATAATATCTTAGACCTCATGAAAAAAGAATCCGCTCTAACATCTTTCCTAAGACTAATAACATTCATAGTAAATAATTTAAAGAAACTAAATTCGACGTAAATAAAATATACACAGCATAAGTATTGCACAAAAGAAAAAATAGACAAACATAATTCGCAACTAAAAAGCCGAAGCCGCCCATATCCATCGCGGGGATTTTAAAAAAAAAAAAAAAACCTAACCTAACCTAACCTTTTTTTTTTTTTTTTTTACATGGGGAAATGCCTACGCATACCCGCCTCGCGGGGGCAAGGACGGGTTATGTCGGACTCGCACCGACTAAAACCCCATGGTGTTCCACCCTCGTCGCATATTGGCAGGGCCACGGGAACGCTTTCGCACACTTCCGCGGCCCCACCTGCGCTGGCCGCCCCATGGCGGCCCCTCCTCGGGAGAGGACCACTCCTCCCCCATCTCCCTCTCAGGTAGGGCGCACCAGAACACATGGCGTGCCCTCCTCCTCGGCCTCCAATTTCACATGCGCAACGGACGCCCCCGTGTCCGATGCGCGAAGGCCATGGGGCCAGGAAAAACTAGCACTCAGAAGCACCAGCCTTCCTAACCCCAGCGGCGGATCTGGTCTATGGCTCCGCCGCCAACCAAGATTCGGCTGCGGAGGGTAGGGAGAGCGGCGCCTCGCAATACCGACACTCCTCTCCCCCCGCAGCCCCACCATCACCGCATCACTCAACGGTGCGGCCCCGTCTGAGTCGCAGAGGATAGGGCGAGTGGCGCATCGCCATACCAGCACGCCTCCTCCTCCGCGACTCCACCTCGGCTGCAGCGATAGAGGGCGCGGACACCCCTCTCGCAGCATCCCACCGACACACATCCGAAGTGGGCTTCCCAAGCCCACTCGGAGTGGCCACCTCGGGCCGGCCCTACACCACGGGCCAGCCAAGGGGTTCCTCTTTGTTCACCGTGGTCGACCAAGCCACGGCTACTAAGCCCCCCCGCCACGACAAGGCGGGAACCCGTTCGGGGGGGTACCTAACCTAACCTAACCTAACCTTTTTTTTTTTCGTGGGGAAATCCTCATGGATACCTCCGGCTGCGGGGGCAACCGGAAGGTTATGCCGGACTCCTACCGGCTAAAACCCCACGGTGCCTCCTCGCACGTGCGCGCGGGGCCGCGGGAATCCAAATTCTTCCGCAGCCCCACACTAGTGCTGGCCCGGTCTGTCCGGGCCTCGTCTCCTGTACGGGGTAGCGAGGTGTTCAGCTACCCCCCTCCACAGCCTCCAACTCCACCTGCGTATGGGACCCCCCCGAGTCCGATACGCGGAGGCCATGGGGCCAGGAAAATCGAGCGCTTATTAGCGCCCGCTTTCCCGACCCCAGCGGCGGATCTGGTCTATGGCTCCGCCGCCAACCAAGATTCGGCTGCGGAGGGTAGGGAGAGCGGCGCCTCGCAATACCGACACTCCTCTCCCCCCGCAGCCCCACCACCACCGCATCAATTAACGGTGCGGCCCCGTTTGAGTCGCGGAGGATAGGGCGAGTGGCGCATCGCCATACCAACACTCCTCTTCCTCCGCGACTCCAACTCGCTGCAGCGGTAGAGGGTGCGGACTCCCCTCTCACCGCAGCCCACCAACACACATCCGAAGTGGGCTTCCCCAGCCCGCTCGGAGTGGCCACCTCGGGCCGGCCCTACACCTCGGGCCAGCCAAGGGGTTCCTCTTTGTTCACCGTGGTTGACCAAGCCACGGCTACTAAGCCCCCCCGCCACGACAAGGCGGGAACCCGTTCGGGGGGGAACCTAACCTAACCTAACCTAACCTTTTTTTTTTTTTTTTTACGGGGGGAAATCCTCATGGACTACCTCCGCCTGGGGAAAGGCGGAGGGGCGTGCCGGACTCTTACCGGCTAAAACCACGCCGGTGTCTCCTCACACGTGCGCGTGGGGCCGCGGGAATCCAAATTCTTCCGCAGCCCCACACTAGTGCTGGCCCGGTCTGTCCGGGCCTCGTCTCCTGCACGGGGTAGTGAGGTGTTGAACTACCCCGTGTATCGCCTCAGGGGCGCGCGCCAACACCCGCGCGCGCCTCCGCCTCGGGTCCATCGAGTAGGGGTG